TTGACTTAACTACGACAATTTATCTCGCGAAGAACGGAAATTTTTATTCAGCAGCAATAAATACGGACGAGATTGAAAGGATATTAGAAAAGGAACAAACTAGTATACCGGTTATTGACATGCTCGAATATGCAGACACGCATGTAGGAAGATTAAACGACACTTTCATTGTAATTTACAAATATCCAGTCATTGAAAAGAAATGCGCAACATACAAAGTTACTCCATTATCCTATCGTCAAGGCATTTTGGATATGAATAAAATCGTAAGTAAATGTGAAGATAAAATAATATTAACATCTAAATGTAAAAATAATTTAAGTAAATATATTTGTAGACAAGAACCTAATGACTATTGTACAATACCAATGATCGAAGGTTACGAAGCCCATTGTAATGTTATCCAAGAAAATAACGCACCTATTATAGATTTAGGACATGGTAATGTCGTATTACAAGGAAAACATATTTTAAACGAAAAATCAATTGAAAAATTGAATTTAATCCAATTTAATGAAACAATTATTATTGACTCAGAAGTATTCCACAACCAGGAACAAGAAATTAAAGATTATATTATAGCTTATGGAAACGAAAGAATTCACATTCTTGAAATATTGGAATCAGAAAGCGAATATCAATTTGACAACATTAAAAAATTAAATAAATTTTTAATACCATTTGAAGAACACCCAATCAAGAATATGTTCATAACTATAGGAGTACTTCTAGTCCTAGGATTAAGTATATTTGTAATATTCAAACTTTATATAATTTATCAAAAAACTGTATATCTGAGAAACTACAACGCTAATATAGAACGTGTAGGAATGACTCATCTACTCAAGACTCAAGTATAGATCAGGATATCTATTTTTCACAAGAGAGGGGAGAGTTATGACTTTAACCTTTAGTCTTTTTAAAACAATAGAAGCGCACTATCAGTACAACAAACAATAACAACACAAATAGTTATTTACTAGTAAACAACCAGCATCTCAATAGTATGAGCAGCGATAAACATAGCCTATATAAGCAACTGGAACAATAGAATCGGAGTCACTTTATCATTATCGACTGCCAAGTAACAAGTTACCACCTGTAAAACTTGTACAGTTTAAGTTTAATATATTCAATATTGAAGTACATGTGAATATGGTGATATATTATACAAATAAAGGATCAGTCAGAACCAATTCCATTGGCTGAAATTATATATTTATTCTATTCCTAACGAGTAAATAAATTAACTAGCGCGACACCTTGCGCCATGCCGATCCCTGTGATCCCCGAATAAGGGATCTTAATTTGAAGATTCGGCAAATGGTAAATAAACATAAGACTACTGTCAAGGCCTTGTCTAATCCGAGAAGACATGACGACCGGGTTGAAATTCAATTCGATGGCCATGCCTGCTCGGACCCGAAGAAGTGCGCGAGCTACTTTAGTCGGCAGTTTACACTGCACCCTTCGACCGACTAGGCCCAATTCCCACAACAGCCGGTTCTGCGATACCGGAATTGACCCGGATTTTATCCGGCCAAGGGCTGTTATTTCGGCGATCTAACCCTGTTTGTCGCCATTGGAGCAACGCCTAGCAGCAGGGTTGCTCCGTATCCTCCTATTCCGTGCTGGCATCGAGTCCAACCCGGGCCCCGAGGAATTCTACTGCTGCGTTTCCGCTAAAAGGCTCCATCCAATTTCCACCTCGGTTAGGTGCAATACATGCAATGGATGGAGCCATCCTAAGACCTGTTCAGGCCTTAAGACACACAGGGAGTGGACCACAAGTTACGTGGCCCCATGCTGTCAACGCAATAATGCGACATCTGCCTCAACGGCTGTGCAACCTGCACCATGTTCCCGCACTGCGCTGCCGCTCCAGTCGAGTGGCCAAGATAGGACCTCCACGGCCCTAAGGAGCTCACACAGACAACATGACTCCCAGTCTGACCAACCTCCCCCCCAACCTTCATCCAGCTCCAATCCTCGGGCGAGAACCACCCAGCAACTCCTGGTTCCTCGCACAGTTCCGTGTGTCAGACCATAATACGCCGGAATGTCACATCAGTCAAGTGCAATTCTTGTACTGGCTGGTGTCACTTTCTGTCGTGTTCTGGTCTGCGCACCACACGAGAGTGGAGTGCGTCGTACGTTGCCCCATGCTGTAGGAGTCTGCCCCCGCAATCACATACAGTGGCGTCGCCAATCAACACCACAGTGCGACAACCGCCTTGCGGATACAGCTACAACAACTACCACCTACACGCACCCCACTCACCCCTAGGATCACGACTGGACACCCGCGACTCTAACAATTCAACTGCAACGGACTCCAGAGTAAGATCGAGGAGATAGTTGCATTCATGAGCCGGGAGCGCGTAACGATAGCTGCGGTCCAAGAAACCAAGTTAAACAGCCGCTCAGATCTTCTGAGTTGTGCAGGTTTCAACGTTTTACGTAAGAATCGCGAGCGAGATAATGGTAGAGGCCTAGCCTTCATATTGCACAACACCGTGCAATATCGTCTAATCGATGTTGACATCGACCGTAGGAACACTTCCCTAGAATGTCAGGGTATAGCTGTCCGGTCAGGCGATGTCGAGCTCGAAATATATAATATATACATCCCCCCAGTTACATGTTGCCCAACAGGATATCACCCGAACATAGATACGCTACTTCGTGCTGAAAACCGTTTGGTGCTAGGCGACTTTAACGCGCATCACGATATTTGGCATTCCTGCCTGTCAAACGATCGTAGGAGGATAGAGCTGGCGGAACAGATAGACGATTCGACATTCTGCAAAATGAATGACGAAGCCCCCACCAGAATTATGCGCACCTGTAATAGCTCGCCAGATATTACCATCGCTAGCTGATAAATAGCATAACCTGGTGACCTATGCTAACTCTCGCATCAGACCATCCGCCCATAATTATCTCGATCGAGAAACCTCCCGACTTTATTTCTGTGGACAACCGCACCTTCATTAACTTTAACAAAGCTAACTGGGTCGGCTTCACAGAATTTACTGAAAGCACCTTCAACGCACTACCCATTCCTACGGACATCATCTTTGGCGAGCGTCAATTCCGCAAGGTGATCGCTGCTGCTACCGCTCGCTTCATACCAGCTGGTAGAATCGCGGAACTCCGCCCAAATTTCCCAGCCGAAGCAGCTGTACTAGCAAACGAGCGCGTCACCTTACGCCATGCCGACCCCTGTGATCCCCGAATAAGGGATCTTAATTTGGAGATTCGGCAAATGGTAAACCCACATAAGCGGACAAAATGGGTGGAGCACCTGAAGTCCTGTAATCTCTCCACCGGTGTGAGTAAGCTTTGAAATACTGTCAAGGCCTTGTCTAACCCGAGGAGACATGACGACCGAGTTGAAATTCAATTCGATGGCCATCCCTCCTCGGACCCGAAGAAGTACGCGAGCTATTTTAGCCGGCAGTTTACACTGCACCCTTCGATCGACAAGGTCAAACGATGTGTTACCGACGGCTGCGCAAAAATGCTAAAAGACTGCGCACCACTTACTTCACCGATGTGGAGGTTCAGAGTGTCATCAAAAAGGCGAAATCGTCAATCCATTGGCCCTGACGGAATAACCATGCTGATGCTAAAACACCTAGGCCCAACGGGAGTAAACTATCTCACCAAGGTCCTCAACCTGTCGTATATCCACTCTTCAAATACCCGATGTGTGGAAAGTCGAAGATGGTCCCACTACTGAACCTGGGAAACCCGCCACAAAAAGAGTCTTAGCGCCAGATAACTCTCCTTTTCCCCAGTTGTAAGACACTTGAGGCCTTGTTACTCCCGTCATTCACTCACCTGGCTTTCTAAATATGCAGCCCCAAATATGGTCACCTGGATGCAGTGACACGCAGAAGAAGAAGCTTCAGACCTGTCAGAACACTGCCCTCCGGACTATCACGGGTTGCCTCTTGATGGCTCCAATCGAACACCTACATAGTGATGCCTGTATGCTTCCGGTTAAGGAACACAACGAATTCCTCTCCAAGCAGTTTCTGCTGGGGTGTTTTCGTAGAAACCACCCCTGTAGTCGCCTGCTTGTAGCGGAGCCGCCTCCTAGGAACATCAAGAGGTCTTTCCTTGATTACGTCGACGACATCAGACAGTACGCCGACCGGACTTCGGACGCTATGAACTTCAGACATGCACTGACCACCATTCACAGTGGAGCCATCAACACCTTTACCGACTCCCTCTCAGTGAATGGCGTATTACGAGTCAAACCACCACCCATAGCAGATGTAGAGCTCGAGTTGCCTCACGAAACCAGAGTGACCCTCGCGCAACTTCGTTCTGGATACTGTAGGAGGTTAAACTCCTACTTATCCAGAATAGACCCCGACATACCAAACACATGTCCTGCGCGCAATGATTCTCCGCATGACACTAACCACCTCTTTGCATGCCCAACAAACCCCACTCATCTAACACCCTTTTCCCTATGGTCCGACCCCGTCGAAACAGCTCGTTTCCTGGGCCTCCCGTTAGATGACCTCGACGACAACGAATCTGGAATTTATCATCCAAACGGGGAGTAGGTAACCGTTACAACAACAACAACAACAGCCGACTAGGCCGAATGATGTGTTACCCGACGGCTGGGCAAAATGCCAAAAGACTGCACACCACTTATTTTCACCGATGGGGAGGTTCAGTGTCATCAAAAAGGTCACATCGTCTAAATCCAATGGCCCTTACGGAATAAGCATGCTGATTCTAAAACATCTAGGCTCGACGGGAGTAAGCTACCTCACCAAAACTATGGTCACTGCAATATTGCCATGATTGTTTATAAATTGTGTGAAAATCACTGACGTAGGAATTTTTCGTCAGCTTGTTCCCTCTACTACTCCACTTTAATTGCAATTGCAAATGCTTCGGTTTTTTATTTTATTGATAGACCAGTGTTAGCTACATTTACTTATTTAATTTATTTAATCAACTTTTAGAGATTTTCTTCATTTCTATTATTTTTTCGATGATGTTTTTATATTTTAATGATAATGTTATTTGGTGTCCTGCCGTCTCCGAGTCTTAATATATGTGCATATATTAAATGATAACATTTCTCCCTATAACTATTTAGTTCCACAATTTAGATAATCCCAGCTGCCTTTATTTGTTATGTTATATAAATATAATATCTACAAAGTACGTAATCAACATGTCGTGCATGCACCAAAAATTAGCTGTTCTGGAATCAATGGTAATGTTTACTAATTGTTTGCAACATTTAAAATCTACGTAAATACGTCACAATTAATATAATATACGAAATCTAGCATATGCAGCCACATTTATCAAATATTTAATGTCAATAAAAGTTTATGGTGTATATTGAGCAGTACGTAGGTCTAATTTCGTTATCACTAATATCGGTGCAAATAATTATAACACCATTTTTTCTTTTCATGGAATTAAAATTAAAATGTTGACTATGTGCACGCAAATATACCAATAATTTCTTAAACAAAGTGATGTTAAAAACTGCAAAAAAAAATCTGCTTGCGTAGAAGCAGAAATATAAGCTTTGTAAAATATGATAGTTTTGAAACTCTTTTATGTAAACACTGGCTTTTTTCTTTTGCAGACTAAAGAGTTAAAAGTAAAAAATAAATTCAATGATGTGTCTGATATCATATCCACTTAATAATAGTTCATTGCCTTATTTATATCATTTAAATTTCTTTACCAATTATTCAGAAAATCGAATCCCCTACGTAAAATTAAATCGTTCTCTAAAAGCCGGATATCTTCGCACAAAGTTTTTTCCTCATCATTTTCGTCATCAAATTCGTGATTATTATGTTCGTCGTCATCGGATGTAGTTGTTGACGAGTTTGAGGATGCCATCAGAATTCCGCTGTGGCTGCAATTGCGCATTAGTGTGGCTGATTCGCCTTGTTCAAAGTAGACATCTGTATATACGGCATAATTCAAATTTGATTGTTTGGGTTTGAAGTCGAGTAATAATGAGTCTTCGGATGTATGCTTTTCAACATTTTCTTTCAACAAATATTTGCTCGATTTATTTTTACACGTATTAAAATTTCGTGAAGAAAGCGCTTGAGTTGCCTTAGCAGGTGGAATCTTGAATACTTCTGGCGATGGAGGTATTAGTCGTTTATTTTTTCTAGAAATCTCCAAATGGTTATTAAAGGTGCTCTTCAACTCCTTTTGTAAGCGTTCAGAGTTTTTAGTTAGAGCTACATTTTCAGCCAAATTTCCATTTCTCGGCTCGTTTGAAGTAGGGCATTTATAATCAAAATTAGTGTTCAGATTTATGTCATCCAAATCAGCTTCATAATACTGCTTCTGTAGATCAATCTGTGATTTTGTGCGATAACTGAAAGGTTGCGAATGTTCATCGCGGTATGCCCCTAATACATCATCATAAATAATTTTTAGAGCCACTTTCTGAGCGGTATATGTATGGAGGTTGATTCCATCATAAATATAATTCGTTTTCTCATTGGTAGCCTTTACTTGATTTGTTTTTAATTTGTTTTTTTGTTTTTCAGCATTTTCGGTTTTCGTCAATTTTTTCTTTGTAGTTGGAGGAAGTGGCGGTGGAGACGATGGAGGTTTTAATTTTCCAAGTTGATGTGATTGTATTGTGTGTTTAGCGCGTGCAACCAAATTGTTGGACAATAAATTTTGAGTCTGCAAATAATATATCAGTTAACGAATTCGATGTTTTACTATTATTTGACATTGGGTGAATAATTTTGTCCTCTGCTCTTTGAAGACGACGGCAAAATATGTTTGACACTTGTTGTACTTAAACTAGCACAAGATGAGATAGACGAAGATGAATTTGATGATAACGATGAAGCAGACAGAGACATAGTTTCCAAGTACTTCAAAGAAATTTCAGGTGTTATTAGAGTTTCGTTAATGATCTCATTTTGTTGAGTTGCTTTCAAAGTATACCAAAGCGTGCCATATGATGACTTTGTAGTGGTTATATCAGATGCAATACGCTGAGCTAATGGATTTAAATTAGAAAAATAATCTTGTGCCATTTGCAGATTTAACGAGGTAAACTGGAAAGCGGCCATTTTTATAACACTTATTTTTATGTAGCTCATACAAACGGGAGTTTTCACGACTTTCCTGATAATTCCATTCTAAATAATAGAAAATTGTGTTACTACCATCAGTAAACAGCTTTGATTTGATGTTTGTTTGAACTTTTATAAAAAGTAATGGTAAATGTATAGTTTAGGTCCCCCAATATTTTGACGCGAATATTACAAATCCGGGAGGGGAAAGTGAATTTTTTCAATAATTTATGTATACACATAGCCAATAAAGTCTGTGTTCACCCGACACATTTTTTTAAGTGAAGTAAAAACACAACACAATTCTGCATGTATTTCTTCTTTATATTCTTAAGATCAAAACGCAAAAACAAAAATATATATTTTAATTTTAATTTTTGTGATAATGGGATTTTAGTGTAAGAACAAGTAAACATAGGCACCTTAAGTCTGCGTTCAGCTTTAAAATGAGTTATAAAAGTATTAAAAATTATAAAGAAAAATTAAATGCAATATTGTGTTGGATAGCCGCGTTGTTTTAAAACCTCGTTCAATCGATTTGGCATTGATCTTACCAACATATCTGTTTCCTCAGCTGTGATGGCGGAATTATGGTGTGGGGTTGCATGGCGGCTGGTGGTGTGGGTCCGCTTGAATTTATTGAATCCACAATTGATAAATGGGGTTAGTTGAACATATAAAAAAAAAACAATTTGAAACAAAGTGCAGAGAATTTTGGATTATCTTCGACGTTTCGGGTCCAACAAGATAATGGCCCGAAGCATACTGCGCAAATAGTTAGACTTTGCCGGCGAGATCGCGGTTTTAACGTTAAAATTCCGTTTTTTTTTTTAAATTGTTTACGACGCACTGGACAGAAGAATACGTTCTTCCAATAGTTTGCCCAATTTCTCTAAAACTTTCGCCATCTTTTCACAACTTAATGATATTTTTTCTTTCCGACAGACTAATTTATTTTCCTTTGGTTTCCATTTTTTAAATATTATTAAAACGCGTCACCAGCTCTTTAAACGACTTATTATATTAAAACACAATAGAATCTACGCAAAATGAAGGAACAAATTCATGAGAAGTAACGGTATTTCCAATTCAAGCTAACTGAACGCAGACTTTCTGGTGCCTATATTTACTTGTTATTAAACTAAAATCCCGTTATCTCAAAAATGAAAAAAGGAATATAAAATTTTTGTTTTTGCATTTTGAACTTAAGAATATAAAGAAGAAATACATGTACAAAATTTGAACTGAAATACCTATTTACATTGTTTTTACTTCACTTAAAAAATAGTGTCGGGTGAACGCAGACTTTATTGGCTATGTGTATATTTATAAATATATTTAACGCACTTTACACATATTTCTCAAGTCACTTAGTTGTTGTTCTTGTTGTAGCGGCAAAGTTCTTCAGAATTCAGATGAATTAGCTGTAATTACCAGTTCAGTGCGTTAAACATTTTCTTGTGAAAAAATTACCCTGGTCGGTCCAACACCGGGGTGTTTATAGCTCTTTTGCACCAAACTCCTTTCAGCAGCGGAAAAAATAAAATAATTAATTTTAATGTATCACAATTTTTTATTTTTAATGCATGTGTATTAAAAAAATTTAAAAAAAAAGCTTTTTTTTTGGTTTTATTTTTTTGAAAAAAAATAAAAAAAAATTATTGAAAAAATTCACTGCCCGCTCACGTATTTGTAATATTCGCGTCTAAATAAGACGATTTAAAAAAATTTCAATTTTGAGGCCTCCTTAGTTGGGGGACCTAAACTATAAATTTACCAAAGTAATATTTAAAATAGTGCTTCATAAAGGAGCGAATAAAATGTTTGAATATGTTCATATGCATATATGGAAAATATTTTTGACATATTTTCGTACTCTTCACATTGTATAGTCAGTTCACCAGAAATCCATTATTTTTCCTCCAATAGATGGCTTTTGTAATGAGAATCTCGCGTTTTAAAAGTTGGATTCGGTTACGGTATACGGCGTTAGAAAGATTTTGAGTCCTCCTATTGGCTGGGATTTAGAAAACATTCCCTGAATTCGGGGTTAAAATGGGTATGTACGGTTAGAAGAAGGGGAAAACTTTAGTTTAGCATCCCACGATTTCAGGTTTAATAGGGGTATGGTTGGATAGAGGAATGGCCGCCGAAAACTTTTAGTTTTCGAGATATTTGCATTTTAAGTTGAAAATTTCACAAATTTTATTTTACAATTTATGCCCTTATTATACACTAACACTTCACTACAATGTTTCTACATATTTATTTTATATTAAATATTTAAATATTTGCTTTAGCATTTTATTTTTACACAATTTTCGTTATATGAACAATAACAAATGGGTTCCATGTTGACATCTAACAAGTGTTGCCATATCTATTATATATATATATTTATATTTTGAAAACGAATTAATATGAACAATAAAAGAGGATTATACCCCAAATACATGAACTATAATTTTGTTCATTCCCTTCTATTGATAAATTATGGTATTGGATTGGCGGTAATAATTATATATATTCGTGATCTGGAGAATCTCCTCTATCCAACCATACTCCTCTTAACCCTGAAATCGTGGGATGCTTAACTAAAGCCGACCCAGAAGAAGTTCTCCAGACTTAGAATATATATAAATACATAGTTGCCGTTGACTTACGTTTTTGAGCTATTTGCATTTAAAGGTCAAAAATTCAACAATTTAAAGACCCCGTTTCTTCGTTTTATATTGGATTTTCTACTTAAATTTTAACTTTTAATCCACTAACACTT